TTGGCCCCCCCCCCCCCCTTTTAATTCTGTATTCTGTTTTCAAAAGAATGTGCATGAAGAGGAAAAAGCCAAGTCAGCAAAAAGAAGCTCCTTCTGGTTTATTATAAATTTATTTTCACATAGACATTCTAGTTTAATCTTAGTCAAGCTGTTTTATTTGCTCTACAATTATAATTTAAGGTACAGACCAGATCTTCATTCTGCATTTAGCTACCATACGTAAGAATCTTAAGAATTTCTGAGAAAATGGAAACAAAGGCTTTGGGTATAAATGCTTTGGCATGGATGTCTTGGATTCCTGAACAGTGAGTTCCTTAAGAAGTGGGCCTTCAAGACTTTTTGCCCCCTCCCCGTGCAGACTGCAGGGCCAGGAGTGCAGCAGGGGCTGTGTAAACATTTGTGCATGGGACCGCCTGCAGCCTGCCTTAGCAGTGGGAAGTGTCAGGAATTAGTTTTCATATTTACATGCTGTGAAACAGATAATATAAAATAAAATAGTAAATGGTGTTTCTTTCCCATGGCACGATTTCTTTTCTTGTTTTAAATCTTTTGTTTTTCTGTTGAATTTAATGAAAATGACTCTCGGAGATTTCATCACACAGTGTTACTCTTGATAATTTTGAAAATTATGCAACTTGCAATTGCATGTGAAATTTTTTCAAGAATTAAAGCAAAATAACTTGTATGAAGATCACACAGAAATATTTATTTCTTAATTTATGAATAGTTAGCACTTAATGATAATAATTTGTTATATTTTTGAGAACTAAGTGGTTTAGGGGACAGAAATATCATGGGTGCGGTACTGTTCATGTGTTTCCCTAAGCGAGTATTTTGGCTTTCACACTTTCCCTTTGCTTACATCTGTTTCTCTTTTTGTTATACAGGCAAGAAAAGCTTTAATGATGGTGTTTTTCTCCAATTTCCCCTTCTTATGGATTCCCCATTTTTTGATCACTCTGGCACTCAATATTATCATTGTTTTACTTGCAATATATGTTCCTGACATTAAGAATGTATTTGGTGTTGTTGGTAAGTTTTCTATTTCAAAAAAAATCCACATAATAAAATAGATAAAATTGTCTACCAGCCTCATATCTGAGTCTGGCAGTAATCCTCACTTTCCCTCCCCCTTAAAGGTTCCAGTACATCCACATGTTTGATATTTGTGTTTCCAGGACTGTTTTATCTGAAACTTAGCAGAGAGGATTTACTCTCATGGAAAAAGCTTGGGGTAGGTTTGTTTTTGTTTTTTTCTTTTAAGAATCCTATTCTAAGAAATAATTTGTCATTTTATAATAATTTTATCTACATCAAGAATAATGTACAGTATCGGATAGGGTGGAGATTTTTAAAAAAATACTCTAATTTTTCTTATCTTTTTTCTTATTTCCACAGGCTTTTGTTTTGCTCACCTTTGGAATTTTGGTTGGGAGTTTTAGTTTAGCACTCATCATTTTTAATTGGGTTAATAATAAATGAAAGATATATTTTCTCATTTCTTATGAAGAATAATTTACTTCCATATACAAAAAGGAATAATTCTGGAAGGCACCTGGATGAAAGTTCTTAATATTGGTTGACATTTTTATAAACATTATTAACAGAAAAGTGGAACAGAATGGGAGTGGGCAGGGGAAAGTGCGCTCATAGCAGTTTTAATCAAAATAAGAAACAAACTCAAAATGCTCTTAAATGTATTAGGTCAATCTTGTGTTTGTTTATTTGTGGGTCTGTTGCTTTTTTAAAAAATTAATAGACTTTATTATTTAGGGTCATTTTAATTTTTACAGAAGATGTTGAGCAGAAAGTACAGAATTCCCATATACTCCTTCACTCCCCAAACCCCCAAGGTTTCCCATATTATTAGCATCTCGAATTAGTGTGGTATATTTATTATACTTGTTGAGCCAATACATTATTATTAAGTCAAGTCCATAGTTTACATTGGGGTTCATTCTTGATGCAAGCATTGGCAATCACTAATCTTTCTACGATCTTCCTAAAACCTCGGAGCCTTTTCCAGCGTGTCATATAGTTGGAATTATATAGTATCTAACCTTTCAGACCAGCTTGTTTCACTGAGCAATATGCAATTAAGTTTCCTACATGTCTTCTATGGCTTGATAGCTCATTTCTTTTTATCACTGAATAATGTTCCATTGTATGAATGTATCATAGTTTGTTTCCCATTCACTCATTGAAGGACCTCTTGGTTGCTTCCGAATTTTGGCAGTTTTAAATAAAACTGCAAGTTTTTGTGTGGACGTAAGTTTTCAGCTTATTTGAGCTAAAACCAAAGAGTACAATTGCTGCGTCTTATGGTAAGAATATGTTTAGTCCTGTAAGAAACTGCCAAACTGCCTTCCAAAGTGGCTATACCATTTTTCATTCCCACCAGCAATGAGAGTTCCTGTTGCTCCACCTCCTCACTAGCATTTGGTGTTGTCAGTATTCTGGATTCTGGCCATTCTAATGGGTGTATAGTTATATCTCATTGTTACTTGAACTTGCATTTCCCTGATGACATATGATGTTGAGCATCTTATCATATGCTTATTTTCTATCTGCATACTTTCTTGGTGAGGTTCAGATCTTTTGCCTGTTTTTTAAATTGGGTTGTTTTCCCATTGTTGAGTTTTAAACATTCTTTGTATATTTTAGATACCGGTCCTTTATCAGATAGGTGTTTTGCAAAGATTTTCTCCTGGTCTGTTTCTCTTTCCATTCTCTTAACAGTGTCTTTCACAGAGCAGAAGGTTTTTTATGCTATTAAATATGTTAAGTCAAGCTTTGGTTTGTTTTTTAAGAAATCTGTGTGTTAAGCTTATATACAAAATTGAATCTTAGCTTGTGGGCTAATGTTTTCAACATCAATCACTAATAACAAAACTGTGGGATTATTCCATTTGGTGCTTTGCCCTGACTCCAAATCCTGTCTAAGAAACGCCTGTGATTTTTCTCTGTTGTGCATTAGGAGATAGAGGTGTGATGATTGCCTGTGGATTTGAAAGCTCTCTGAGCTTTCTTGTTTGTCACTAAAACATGTGACTCTCTACTTGGCAAACAGAGACAAATATTGATGATTTATATCATATTTTGTTTGGAGGTTATAAATCATTCCAGTCTTCCCATTGATGTGGCTTATTTCTGGTTGGAAACCAGAAGCTAGGTCTCTCCTCCCCATGAGTAGTCTATGTAAAGGGCACTTGAGCAGCCCACCAAGCCAGGGTGCATCAGTACAAATGTAACCCCGCCCCTGTGCACAGGTAAAGTAGGGAATTGCAACCAAAGTGCCAATTTGCATGTATGGAAATCCACACTTTTGCAGGTGCCCCCTTGCTTCCCACTTAGGAAATGGGCAGAAAAATTGACAACTGAGCTTCTCTTTTGAGTTAAGATACTTAGGCAACCTGAGATTAGCATGGTGTAATGGAAGAAGTCCAAGTTTGGGGGTTAGAAAGATTAGATTGAAATCTCAGTGAGTTTAGGCAACTACTTAACCTCTCTCAGCGTCCACTTTCACATAGGTATTAGATGGAGCTAATGCCATTACACAGGGTTGCGTTGAAAGGATTAAGTGACCTGTATAAATTAGGTACAGTCTGAAACAGACCCCCTTCATAGATTAGCTATTTATCCCCTTTCTCCCATCCCTTTATCTGGAGCAGTAAAATTAATTTGCTTTCACTCAGGGACATGGAATTTCTTCATCTTCCATCTTGCACAACTATGATATTTAGAATCCTTCTCTTGCCTCTACTCACAGGGGAACTGGCCCCATGAGCTCTGTTTTTAGTGCTTTCCCACAGTTCTACCCCAGCTGTACTCTCCTTCTAATGCCTTCCTGAAACTGGGCACTTAGCCTGGCCCCAGAGGCATAGCCAGGCCTGGCCTCCCATGTGGCTTCAGGTCAGCCGGAGTCCATCAACCTGGCAGGCTCATCCTTGTACCCTCTTTCTCTGCTTATGAAATTATAGATCCAAATACAAATAGGTGTTCAGCTGCTTAAATAAATCTAACTCCAGTGATACCAAAATAACCCTAAATCTGCAACAGATGCAAGGATGCCCCCTGGGGCAAATGTTAAGTGTGATGACAGCTGGGCATCAATTAATACATTTGTCACCTGCTCCCGGGATAGGATCATGGGAGGTTTGGCAAAGGGACAAGTAACCTATTGAGCACTCTGCACAAAATTTAGTTAATATCAAGAGAAATTATTTGTGGAGGTGTTTATTTTCATTTTACTTTAATATTCTGCCTTATCTAGTTGCCTGTTTAGTCACAGCTTTGCCTATGAATTTGGAAGAGGCTAATAAGATGGCTGGTAAGAGCTGTGCCCCCTTCACCGGAATTACCAGAAAACATTGTTCAACTACTCCTCAGCATTTTTCCTGGGAAATATAGGCCTTCTCATTATGGGCTTAATGTTCATAATTTATTAGGTAATAACTATTTAAAATAAAACTAAGTTAAGCACAAAATATATACTTTTCCAACACTTGGAGACTTGTTTGCTAAATTAAAAGACGAAGTGCTGAGAATATAAATTACTTTCATATGTTGAGGGTGAATGTTTAAATTGTACTTTTTTAACGGAATGTTTACTCATGAGCTTAGCATTTAAATGGTTAAAACAAGCCTTTGAAGTTAACACTCCATTAAGATGAATGGGGGTAATTCACACCTCTGCTGGTGCTGTATTATTTCAGTCTGGCTGCGGAGAAAACAAGACAGCAGTGGGTTGATTTACTGTGTGAAGGCCCTTTAAACACCCAAGGCCTGGAAATCTTTGTTGTTGTTGTTTTTTCTTTTTCACCTAGAAGCAGAATCTGAAATTCAGCACAATCTAGGTCTAGAGCTGAAGTCTTGAAAGCACCATAGATTCTCTATTATCTGGCAGTTTCCACCTGGCTTTATTTGTTCCTGTACTCTAGTGCTTCTTCCCACCGTGGCGCTGTTTATACTAAAGTTAGTAATTCACCGATGGAAAAGCAGAAACAAGCCATCCATTTTCAGGTAAACTTTACACATGTCTTTAAATGGGTTATGAAATAATCCTCAGCCTTCTAAAAACATCATCTTCACATCTCCCTGTTCTGTATTTGCCTAACACATAAAACATCCCCCTTCAACAACTATTTTCTTCCCCACTGGGGGATGGGGTGGGAGTGAAGTGAGCAGAGATCCTTTGGGAAAATGCCTTTCTTTCTCAGTGTGTCCTATGTTAGTTATATTTGAGATGTGTGTTCCTCCCATTGGTGGAAGTCCTATAGCCCATTGACTCTGAAACAGTTGCAGAGCCTGGGAATAAAGTTCTGTGAGCACTGTATGAGATGTTAATGAATTTGGAAGGTCTCTTTTTAAGGTAAACTGGTTTTTCTCTTCCCTTTCTCTGCCCTGTGTATTTGCAGGATCAAATTACTGGATAATCTGTGGGTAGTTGGGTGTGGAGAGTATTTCTATTTGGGCTGCCTCTCACGTTGACATTGCCAGCGCAGTATATAGAAATGGAAAGTAGATGCTAGAAACACAGGGACCCAAACAATTAGTGTTAACCTGTTTTTCTTCTTGGCATGTCTACAGTACTCAGGGGCTCTGTTAGAATTAGCACTATTGAAAACAACTTGTTTCCTGCAAATTCTTCTGCCTGAATTTTAGGTGTCATAATTTTTGGTCTTAGAACTTCTCAGAACCCGCTATAGTAGTGAGAAATTTGTTTTTCCAATTTAAACACACAATTTATCCTTTTTTTCCTACCGTAATCCTTCTATAGTCTTTCCATATGAAGTGGGAAAAATAGGAAAGCAAAGTTATGATAAAGAATGAATAAAGATATTGTGGGTGTGGTTTCCTCATTGCAATCAGGATCCTTGCTGCCTCTCCCCCTTCCTAAACAGTCTGATATCTGTGTTTACTGTCATCATGACCCACTGTCCTAGTTTGCCGGGCCGTCAGTTAAGGTGAGCAGTTATGAGGAGCAGGAAGACTCATCTTGGCTGATGGCCAGGTGACCAGGTGGGAATGAGGGGTTCATTTACCTGTGGGACGAAATAAATGGGTGAAAAGGGAAATTGAGTTGCCAGGAAAAAAAAAAAGACACATGGATTAAAAGACATTCTAATATGGGATGCTATAAAGAAAAAAAGCCTTGCAGAGAAATGTTTTTCACGTGTTTTAATGTGTATGTGTTTTATCTTAGGCACACTATAAGCTAAAATGTGACTGATGTACAAATTTAAGCAAAGGGGCTGGCTAATTCATTGAGCACATATTTACTAATCACATATTATGTATTAAGGGTTGTACCAGTCCTAAAGTTGTAAAGTTAAATTAGGCACATTTCTTACCTGAAAAAGGCTCAGATACGATCTTGATTTTTCTGATTGAACTTTTTCAGATAGACTTGATAAGTGAAACTGCTTAACTCAGAGGAAGAATTATATATACACTTTTTCATGTATGTATATATATATCTGTATTTATATAAATATTTAAGGTTACACATTTTATTTTATTTTTTTTAAGAGAGGGAGGAAGGGAGAGAGAAAGAGAGAAACATCGATGTGAGAGATACATAGATCCGTTGTCTCCCATATGTGCCCTGACTGGGAATTGAACCTGCGATCTTCTGGTGCACCAGAGGATTCTCCAACCAACTGAGCCATACCAGCCAGGTTTATATTTATATTTTTTAAAGAAGATTTTGGAGTCAGTCTTACTTGTGTTCTAATTCTAGTTCTACCTCTTTCTGTCTAAGTTTGGACAAGTTACTTTAATTCTCTGAATTCTCTGAAGACCTTCAGTGTTTGAAGACTGAGTTTTCTCTCAACCAGGGGAAATACACTTTGTTTCTTTAAATTAGATAAATTAGATTACATGATATTTGGGAAGAGCTCGAGCACGCTGTTAAGCACTGACTTGAATATATGTACAATTTTATTACTTGACTGTTCTTCAAATCACAGTTTTCACCTACTCAGCATCCTGATCAGAAAATAGTTTTCTAGAAATAATCCTGATTGATGTAGTTAATTTGCACTACTGATGTATATTCTTCCCCAGAAAAATAATTTTTGTAGTTTTATATTAAATGTTATCAACACACTCTGATTTTACTCTGAGTATGTTTCAACATACTCCGATCAGCTTTTTCATGATGACGTTGCACTTTAGGCTGATAAGGTATGTGGTCAATAAGAAGCTCCAGCTCTTTTTCAAGCGAACTGTCAGATTTTCTGGGACTTGTGCTATTGATTTTAATTTTTTTAAGTATGAAGGAATATTTACACACACACACATGCATATATTTGTATACACATACCTGTTATCTACATTATATATCTGCTGAATTTCATTTTGTTAGCTTCAGCTCATCCTTTCAGCGGTCAAGATCCTTTTTTGAATCTTGATTCTAGTGCATCATTGTTCCCAGCTTTTAAAAAAAATTTTTAATTGATTTTTAGAGACAGAGGAAAGGAGAAGGAGAGAGAGAAAGAAACATCAATGTGAGAGCAAAACACTGATGCTGAGGGATCGAGCCCACAACCCGGGTGTGTGCGCTGACGGAGAATCGAACCACAGGAAAACACCCAACCAACTGAGCCACACCGGCCAGGGCTGTTCCCAGCTTTTTGCCATCCTTCACTATCCTACCATTTATCTCATTCACAGATAAAAATGTTCAATGAGACAAGAGTGACTACAGAGCCTGGAACCCCACCACTAGAAATGTTTCCTCTAAGTTGCTGTTAGTCTCTTTGGGTGAGGTTGTTATGTCCCCATGGAGTCCTCTAATCTTGATTTCTTAGCCCCCTGGAAGGGTCTCCCAAGTCAGTAGGCACAACCTAAAGTCTCCCCTATTTTCCATATTTCCCATTGCTCCGGGACATTTCCGCTTGGGTGCCTCACAGTTACCTCAAACCCAACGTGTTCAGGATTATTCTCTGCAGTTTTCCTATGTCTGTCAGCGGCCCCACTGTTTTGATCTAACCTCCCAACTGGTTTTCTTGCTTCCATTTCTGCCACCTGCAACCCATTTTCAGACTGCAGCCAAACTAGTTGTTTAAAATGTAAATCAGATCATGTCACTAACCTGCTTCACCTAGAGTGAAACCTGTACCACGGCCTACAAGGCTCTATTTCGTCTGTACCTGCATCTTCCTCTGACCTCGTCTCATATGTCTTTCACTCTTCTGCAGCCGCACAGGCCTTTCTGTCCCTTTAACACACCAAACGTGTTCCCTGGTGTGCACCTTTCCCCCCAGTTAGAACATTCTCTGCAAAGACCTTTCTTTGCAAGGCCTGGCTCCTCGTTCAAGCATCAGCCCAGGTATTACCCACTCAGAGAGGTCTTCCCTGACCTTCTTACATAAACAAGCCACCCCCAACATGCAGTCATGCTTCGTAACTACCGTGCTGTGCAGGTCACTACCAGCAAGCTTGTTTGTTTGTTGTGAGTCCACCGGACTGCAAGTTTCATAAGAACTTGGACTTGTCTGTCTGGTTCATCACCAAATCCTTAGAGCTTAAACTGGTACCTGGTACCTGGTACCTGGGAGAGGCTAATAAATATTTGTTGAATGAATGCATAATGGAATCTACACACTATATCTTTTTACTCTTTACTCCAATCTGTCACCATATCAGTTCTTCCTTTGAAACATCTACATTTGCTTTTGTCCTATCTCCCACTTCCTAATAGGTTACAAATTAAAGTTCAGAGAGGTTATGACGTTAAGTGACTTGTGCAGGGTCACACATCCATAATTTAAGCTCAAGTTTGACTATAAAACGTGTGCTTAACTATTACACTAACACTCGTTAAGTATATCCAACTGTTGGAGTTTTTCCCACAGAAAGGTTCTGCTCATAGTAGATACATAGTCAGTATTAACTGTGCTGAAAGCTGCTTTTTCATTTAAAATGTTGCACTTGCCTAAGTTTGTTCCATCACACCAGCCAGACAGCATTGGCCCGCTTTGTGTCTCCGTCCTGAGTCATGGTCTATTTTCACAGTGTTTGTTGTTTCTTCTTTATTAAGTATTTCAGAGGAAATTCTAGGCAAAGGAGAGGTATGTGGGCTTTTACATAGACCAAGTATGTGTTCCAATATTTGTCAATCAGACTTTGAAAAATCTTGGATCCCTTAAAAAAGGGATGAATAAACCCATTTTGTTGTGTTCTACGACTCTCTGCAAATGCAATTTTTTAAAAAATTGAAATATAGCTCATACTATCAACAGTCTAATTCAGTGTTTCCTAGAATTTGGAGTTCTTTTGGATCCTTAGAACTTGAAAATAAACTTGGGGGACATTTTTAAGATTATCAACTTTTTATTTTGCAAATTGATTGAGGATATTAAAAAAACTTGCCACCTATTATCACCATCCTTTCATATGAAAAGGTAAGGAAGGTCATAATATAAAATAGAGTTCCTTAAATTCAGTAGGTCTACATTTGTTAAAAACTTGCTACATATTTCTTATTTTTCTCAAAGACCAATGAAAACTCTCCTGTGGGCCAGCATTAGAAAACTACTGATCTAAATAAGCAGAGTCTATATTTAAAAATTCAGTAAAGATTTTCTCACCTCTAATTCTCATTGAATTCAATTATCTTATATTTGGAAAGAAAAATGTATATAAATAGATGTTGGTTATAGAAATGGATTAATGATTTAGTTGACTTTCTCCCCAATAATTGCTGATCCTAAACTTTGGAAGGGAAAATATCTAAATAATCGATTCCTGATTTATAGACTTTACAAAATTTCGTCAGCATTTCAGGATTTAGTAAATAAACAGTATTTTTACTATAAAACTTCATAGGTTTAAATGTTATATAGAAAGTCAATCAGTAATGTATTTACATTTCACAGTAACATATTTCATAGGGAAGCAAAATACTTAGAGACTTGGGCCCCCATGTCTTTGTCTAAAGATTTGTCATTCATTTGCATTCACACAAATTCTTTTCCCTCCACTCATCCAGAATAGTTTTCAACGTATTAGCTAACCAGACTAAATAGAGTTGCATTCAGGCATTTTAATGTCAATGTAAAAATGGTTTCCCAGATTTTTTTCTTTTCAAATCTCCCAAAAGATGTCTAATCACTCCCAGACTGTTACTTAAACATTTCACAATGTTGTCACTTCTATAGTAAAACAAAAACTGGCTTTCAGTAAATCAGAGAGCCAGACTTTGGCAACTTAGAACTTTATTCTGGCGAGAGAAAATTCTTGAACTCCATTCCCAACCTCGTTTGTGAGAGGGTGATTTTGCCTGTCACATAGGTCCGTGGCATTGTTCAGCATATATGGTATTTGTTCTTTAGTTGGTAACCCACTCCTGGGGATGACAATTTAGTAGAGATGACCTCTGTATAATGACTAGGATTGTAATATCCCGAGGACAGGGTTGGCCATTGTGCGCGCCATGTGCATACTGGGCCATCAGTGGGCTCTTGTTGAAAGAATGATGTAGCTTGATGGGTAATATGAACATTAAAAGCTCTGCTGGACAATTTCATAGGGATGGGGGCTCACTGCCTTCTGGGGGAGTGGGGATAATTTTGAGGAGGAAGTAAGAACTGAGCAAAATCACAGGATAACCAAAGTAGAAGTGAGAGGGAGGAAGGCATTCTGGTTTGGAAAGAAAATAGTTAACAAGTGTACATGAAAATGGTATATTTTTGAAATGACAAGTAAAAATTTTGCCAGAAGCAAAGATGTAATGGCAGTTTGAGAAATAAAGCTGAAGGGTAGGATCCTGGTTGTAGAGGATACTGGAAGCGAGGCTGAGTTTGGACTTTACATCAAATAAAAAGTAAGTCTTGGTGGAGGGCCTTTGAGAGGGGCAGGACAGAGAAACATCAGTTGCCTCTCTGCACTGTCACCATCATCATCTCCCAAAAGCCATATGAAAAGAACAACTTTGAGCCTTCAAGTGCTGGTCATCTACAAACCCACTTAATTTGTTCCAGAGTTTCAGCTCCAGGGGTCATGAGGAACTTTTTCAGGAGTTTTGGGGAATCCCTCATGCCCTCAGAACCTGTTAGCAGTAAGGGGTCTTACTCTGTTACCTGAAGGGACTCCCATGCGTTCCTGCCTCCACACTTCTGCACCGCCCTCTGTGCTGTGCTCTGCTTCCTCGCCCAAGCTCCTGCTCGTCCTCAAAACCTACTCAATACTCCGTCTTCTTGAATGACCTCTAAGACTGTGACTTCATGTAACTTTAGGAGACCCATCCCCAATACCTTGATGCTACTTTTACTTTTTTTCCCTTTTTTTTTTACAAAATATACAAATTCTTATATATTTATATCTAACCACACTGTGATAGCTTTTAGGAAAGATGTTACATGTACCAGCCCCTTTATACTCTCTGTCTGAGACCTGCCTCCTATCCGCACCCCACCACACCCGACTTCACAGTACAGTGCAGTGAGTGCTAGTGGTTTAAGAGCTTGCCCTGAACAAGGGACTTCTTTGGAGCTGAAATCCTATAGGACCTATGGAGTGTGGGTTTTCACCTCTCTTTGGCTCCAGCTTCTTTTCACTAGCATATGTACAGCTTCTAGAACAGTCCCCACCAAGAGAGAGTCACTTCATATGCCTCCTTCCTATGCTCACTGTCTCCGGTTGTATTGGCCTGCTAGTGATGATCAGAATACAGGTTATTAACATGAACATGCTGTTGGGCACCATGAGTAGTAAGCATTAAAAAACAAAAACCAACTAACCAAACCCTTAATTTTATCCAGGCTTAGTTTCTTGTTACCTTTACCTTTCTTCATCTACTTTCTCATACCTACAAGTAACAATGGTAGCGACAGCCCACCCCGCATACATACCTAATTCCAGCCCCTCCAAATTTTATTTAGTGATCTCTAGAGCCTGTTTGTCATGTGACCTGCTTTGGGGAATTGGTGATGCCCGATGGGCAGAGACATACTTTTATCTCCAGGTGCCAACCTGGTAAAAATCATAGCACCTGAAGACTCGGAGCTGGCTCTCTTCCTTGGAAATGGTGCCCTTCACAAATATATCTTAGGCTGCCTGCTCCTGCATGCGGTGGCTTTGACTGGTACCAGCTGCCAAGCTTTAGCCTGAGCTTCAGAGTCCTACCTCATGGATGCAAATCAAAACAGAGCCCAGAATCAAGTCTGGGAAGCAAGTCCCAGTGATTTGATTTGCATAGAAGGCTTTTGTCGGTTGAGTGAAGCCAGCCAAATTCCCTGGGTTCCCCAGCCCTCCGGAAATAAGCCTTACAGGGCCTGGGGGCCTGGGCCCAACAGGGTGGGCGTGATTTGAATGTTCGCTGCACAGCTGCTGCGCCCAGGGCTGGTCACTGCCATCGTTTTGCTCCATTTTACTGCCTCAGAATCCCCCTGTGCATGTTAGTGGTTAATACAGCAGCCAGGAGACGCCAGACAGCTCTCGGCACCTGGTTCAAATTTAAGGCTCATTTACACATGATGTCACACACGCATTGTCAGCGCAAGGGAGGTCAGGATGGTTCATTTTGGGAAGGTTTGCATTGTTGAGTCTTTACAACACTCACTGCTATTAATGCCTTAACCATCTGACTTGGATTTCGGTTTTCTGGCATGAGGTAATCCCAGGCACTAGATTTATATGCTGAATGGGAAGCCAGCAGTGGTGGCTAATCATGCTGGTTTGCAGATCTGCACCTCTGGAGCCTTGGGATGGAATTAGAGGGCCACATGGCATGTAGCAAATCATGGAGGTTTGGAGCGGAGGGGAATTAGCCAGACCTGGAAACAGGCTGTGGAGGGGGTGGTGCCTGAGGCCGAAGTCTTGATTGAAGAATAGAAACCAAAGTAACTTGGACAAGGGTCTAAACCCAGAGGCAATAGGAATTACTCTCATTAGGCCGGTGTTTTGGGTCATTTCTTGACCCATCCTTTTGCACTTCACCCACAGTCATTTCAAACCCACCTTCCCAGGCCTAATTCCAGTCTCGGGTTCCATGAAGCTTCCTGACCGCCCAGCCCATGGGGATTTCTCTCCTGAGCCCCTGTATACTTTTGTCAATAAGACAACTAACCATTACTGAGTGCTTAATTTGCGCTACTAGCTCATTTCCCCCTCACGGCAATCCTCTGCGGAAGGCACTGTTATTTCCATTGTGCAGATGATGACACAGCTTCAGAAAGATTAAATCGTGTCCAGTGTCAGGGCGGTAGGAGTCAGGATGGGAAGCCGGTCCCCAGCCTGCGTTCTGAACCGCGAGTGGGCCAGTCAGTGCCGCGTTCGCTGTGCGCCCGGAGAGGGTCCGCGCCTCCAGGAGGTGCCCCAGGAGCGCCGCGCGGCTGCCGGAGCCTCGCGTGCGTAGCGCTGTCCCGCTGCCCGGCTGTAAGGGTTGCAGGGCAGGGACCGTCACTTCTGCCTCTCTGGGCCCTCTGACCTCCTAGCAGTGTCCCCCAGCTTATGCTCAGAGGGATGCATGGATACCAGCCCCCTCCACCCTCACCTATGCTATTTTCCTCCCTAAGACATATTAAAACGTTGAGGTCTGTGGATAACCACTCCTATCACTTGCTGTTGTCCTCTGACACGTGGCTAAAACAGTAAAACTGGGGTGCCTGTTACATCTCCAACAGGAGTCTCCTAACATTACAGGAAGTTCAGAGAATGTCTTTAGTCCTGTGACTGCCTTGATTTTGTTTTTGAATCTGACCAAGGCCTATTGTCATGGTGCCCCCCAAATGGACTTGTTAATTTTCTTCTGCCAGTGTGTTCCAGCCACGCAGCCCGGTATGACAATGGGAGTGTCAGATGTGGCGGAGCACCCTGAGGGCACCGCACTGGGCCCAAGGGTCCAGGCACGGGTTCTGGGAGGATGAGAGTCCGCCAGTGCCCAGGTGTTTGAGGGGTGCCCCTGGCAGAGGGGGCGGCAAGGACAAAGGCCCAGAGGCTCAATCGTGTGCCCCCGTGAACGCAGCTGGACTCAGTGACTGGCAAGGACTCGAGGAGAGGGGGAAGCCAGGTCATACCTGCAACCTCTCTGCGTGAGCAGTGTGGTGACACTTCTGACACTAATCTCAGGGAAGACACCGCTGACGACTGCTTTCTTAGGAAATGTCTCCTCAGAATGACCCTGCAGACGGCTGTTTCCTCAGTGTCCTCTCACCTTTGAATACACCCAGGAATAATTGAAAG